CAAAGATCAGAAGAAGAAGTTTGATCAGTTCCTTCGCAATACCACACCGGGTTAGTCGGTAAATAGCTGGTATGATTGAGGGATGAAATAACGGTGCTGACCAGAATTATTCAGATTCTGTGCTTTCTAATCTACACACCTGTCTAGTTCAAGAAGGAACCATCACTGTGACACCACAGACCATCTTCTACACATCTAGCATTCAAGACGCGTCCCAGAAGCAACCTTGTACGTATCATTACCCACATGAGAGCTCGACAACTCCAGTGAGATAGTCGGGTACCCCATACTGTATACAAACTAAGAATTCTTGATTACTGTTCCAGATTGGACGAAAAAGAGCTTTCAAACTCACCTTGCCAGGACTTATCCGGATACCACCATCCCAGAAACAGCTATTGATGTCCTCTGGTCTTGTTTCTGCTTCTACGCCTATCATCCTTTCCCACTCTCCGGAGTAGGCGACAGAAAGCTAGAGTTGCCAGCCTTTGAGCGTGCGCTGATCCTGCTCTCTCTTCAGGGCACAAAGCTTCTCGGGATCGAAGACGACGGCTTCGGTCGTCGTTGGGGGGCTTTTCCTGAGAATTGTAACTGCAGAGCTAGGATTAATCGGATCTTTCGAAGCATCGGCCTCAGTAGTCCTCAGGCAATCTCACATCCACACGCCACTGGTTTCGCCAGCCTCGTTACTGACGATGTGATCGATACTATGCGTACACTATGCCCCTGCCATCCTAAATTGGCTGCAACCCCTGAGAAGCTGACGCCGCTGGCGGAACGCTTACTCGACGGGAGGAAAGTGCAGTTTCAGATGAAGGTCAACGACTTGGCTGATTTACTCTGCCTGATCATGAGGCTCAGAGTCTACAAAACGACTTGGGGCCGCAGTTTTCATTACGGTTCCTTGGATGGGTCTACTCCAGAGAAGGAAGAACTGGCTAACGTCCTGGCCCGATCGTTCTGTCTTGACCAGGACGAGTCCCTGGCCCCCGCCTTGGTTCTCAGGGCTCTAGATATCTTGGTAATGACGATCCTGTTTACTATCTTCCAGTTCCTCTGCTAGATTGACTAACAATATCGTGCACATTAGCCAAATCTAGAGCAATGGTTTCATCAACTTTGGGCAGCACTATTCCAACCTTCGCCGACCACCGAGTTACTAAGCCTAGATACCGAATCATCAGCAGATTCCGCTTGGGATGGAATTCTTCGCGCAGTCTCATTGTTCGTCCCACCGTTCGAAATCCATGAGAAAACCGACTGGAATCGGAAAGTTAAGCCAGTCACCTTTTCAAAGTGCCATGATTGGACGTCTGGAAGCCTGACGGACAGCCTTGGTCTAAGCCATGTATTACAGCCTACTACCCATGATGACCCAAAGCATCGGTCGCATCTTGTTCTTCTCCTGGGACATCAAGGCCCGGACTCGACCAGAGTTGTTGTGGGGGCATTCTTCTCTGGTGGTACGCAGTCCCCTGCTGCAAACGAGGGAAAGGAGCCAGAGAAGATACAAAGATCAGCGATCGCTCTTCCGCAACTTCTCTTCCAGCTTCAGCCAAGCTTTGATCTCTTTCGATGGAGTGGAGAGGACACCAGGTCTTCATTGCCCATATGCGAAAGTGACACAGGGCAGACGGACTACCTTAACTACGTGGGGGACCCTACTCAATCGAGGGTAGGAGTGAGAATTGACCCTATCACCAGTCAAGCTACCTTTTTCCGGGGCACAGCTACGGCCGCTCGTCGGAGATCAGGGCAGTATGAAGAAGTCACGAGGAAGCATGAAGGATCTGATATCAGGCATGGGGATCAGCAGGAACGACAAACAGACTTTACGGTGACCCGTCTTGCTGTTTTTAATGTGGAAGGTGGGCCATATTATGATGGTGAGGATCCTTTCTGAACTGGTACTAAATAGACTGGCGAGTTTGTATGCTGGCATGGAAGGAAGCATGAGAGTACTGCAAAGGCCCCTTGGCAAGATAAAGAGAACTTTATAAAAGCTTTCGCTTTCTATATATCAAGATCGAAATAGCATTTATTGGAGCCATTGCCACTTCATAGACAGTAGCTGTAGAATCATGATTTGGGAATGGTATACAGATTCACTAGAGACTCGTAATCTCTAACCGCCTCTGCAGTCAATAGATACGTAGTTAAATAAAGTAAGTCTAGACTGTTTGGCTGCTTATCAATCACTGTCATCAACTTCCCCAGCGTCTCTGTCACGTGAACCCCGACAGTCGGGGAATCAGAAATACTTACTAGATAGACATTTCCTGCCAGCTTCGCCCATTGCGTCAGAATCAGCGTGGATGATCCAATAATTGCTTCTTCCGGATATTATTCCCCGATCACGTACCCCATAGTCTAGTAAGTAGTACTTAGTCGTAATTGGCCTTTAATCAGAGTTGAGCATACTGGTTGATCGTTGAACTGAAAGTGACTGACTAATGGCGCGCTTCCGTCATTGACGCCATTCCCCGACCAGCTAATCAATCCCTCTCTTTCTCTCCCTCAGCTTTTTTTCCCCCCTCTGAGAGCCCCTCCGCCCGCCCTCCGACCTTAAAGTTCTCTTGCCTGTCAGTGGCTGTTGTTCTCCCTCACATCAGCACTCCATGCTCTCCTGCCCCTCTCTCCGTCCTCGTCCCGCCCAGGCTCTACTTAAGAACCGGCTCCTTCTCTCCCCAACTACTAGCATCCTCGCCCGCTCCTCTCCCATCGTCGCGACACCTTTGCTCCAGGGTAAAGGCATTGCTACAGCCGCCCCTTCGACCGTTATTCCCCGACGCAGCACTCTGGCTCTCCACTCCTCGTCTCCGGTCGCATCCCGACTCTCTACTCTGACTAGACATTTCTCATCCTCCTCCTCCTCGGCTGCTGACGCAAACAACATGGCTCCCACTGAGGTCAAGCAGTATGACTATATCGTCATTGGTGGTGGTAGCGGTGGTAGTGGTAGCGGACGCAGAGCCGCCGGCTGGTATGGCGCGAAGACATTGATTGTAGAAAGTGGTCGCTCCGGAGGTACCTGTGTCAATGTCGGGTAAGATGCTCCTTCTTCCTCCCTTTCCACGCTACTATGTGAGAGAACCTGGTTGTTAACGCAGTATTATCCCTGCAGCTGTGTCCCCAAGAAGATGACCTGGAACTTCGCCTCCATCAACGAGACTCTCCACGTCGCCAAGCACTACGGCTACGACGTCTCCGAGAACGTCGACAAGAACTACCGCCACTTCAAGGAAATCCGCGACTCCACCATCAAGCGGTTGAATGGAATCTACGAACGCAACTGGGGTCGCGAGGGCATTGATCTTGTCCACGGCCGCGCCGGTTTCGTCGAGCCCAAGACCATCGAGGTGACTCTCGAGGATGGCTCCAAAGCACGGTACACGGCCCCTCACATCCTGATTGCGGTGGGTGGACGGCCCAGCATCCCGGACGTCAAGGGCGCCGAGCACGGTATCACCAGCGATGGCTTCTTCGAGATCGAGGAATTGCCGCCCAAGATTGCCGTTGTCGGTGCGGGATACATTGCAGTGGAGTTGGCCGGTGTGATGGGCGCCGTTGGATGCGAGACGCACATGTTCATCCGTGGCGAGACTTTCCTGCGCAAGTTCGACCCCATGATTCAGAAGACCATGACTGAGCGGTACGAGGCCTCTGGCATCCACATCCACAAGCAGCACCCTGGTCTCAAGGAGGTGCAGCTCATCCGTGATGGTAAGGGCAAGGACAAGCTGCTCAAGCTTATCTCGAACGACGGGTCGGAAATGGAGGTCAACGAGCTCCTCTGGGCCGTGGGTCGCTTGCCCGAGGTTGAGGACCTGAACCTCGATGTCCCCGGCGTTAAGCTGAACAAGTCCGGCCATATCGAAGTCGATGAATATCAGAACACCAGTGTCAACGGTGTCTATGCTCTGGGTGATGTGACTGGTCACGCCGAGTTGACTCCTGGTATGTTTTTCCCCCTCCATGCTGTCCCCTTCCGTCCCTCATCGTCTCGTGCCCCAACTAATACCAAACCAGTCGCTATTGCCGCCGGTCGCCAACTCGGCAACCGTCTCTTTGGTCCTGACGAAGTTCGCGACTCCAAGCTTTCCTACGAGAATATCCCCACGGTGGTCTTCTCCCACCCCGAAGTTGGCACCGTGGGTCTCACCGAGCCCGAAGCCCGTGAGCGCTACGGCGATGACCAGATCAAGATCTACCACACCCGGTTCACAGCCATGTACTACGACGTGATGCCAGCCGAGGAGAAGAAGAAGAACCCGACCGAATTCAAGCTGATCTGCGCCGGACCAGAGGAGAAGGTTGTTGGCTTGCACATCCTGGGTCTGGGAGTGGGAGAGATGCTCCAGGGTTTCGGCGTCGCTGTGAAGATGGGCGCTACGAAGAAGGACTTTGACAGCTGCGTGGCTATTCATCCTACTAGTGCTGAAGAATTGGTTACATTGCGTTAGACTAGATGGGGGTGTACACTAGATTACTATTATTTATATGTTAGTATGTTGTTCAAATGTATAGAGTATATACAGCTACGATGAGACTAGAATGTTGTGTTGCATTATTCTGAAGACATCAGTAATACTTAGTCCGAATCGTGATTGATTTCGTGATACATAAGCGTACTACTATCGCTACCTTGCTACTACTGTCTGACCATCCTCTTGATACTTACTCTCCATGATTCTCAATAATGTGTCTGCATAGTAATATTAGTACCAACTGGCGTGGCTACTATAGATCTCTTTTAAAGCCTAGCGAGCTCCCCGGAAGAGGCATTGACCCGCTCCGACAGCGTTACCACGTGCTGGCCAATCAGAGTTCCGGGCGGGGCTTGTCGGCAGTGCTCGGGGCCAGTTCTGGATGCCGAGGCAGTAGATAAGACATGGGAAGCGCACATCGGCCTGCGTAGACCTCCGTCCCGCCTGAACCTCCTCGTTTTCGTCTCCCCAACCTCGATGAGAGTTCAAGGTGGCAGTCGCAAAAGAAAGAGAATGTCCAAACTATCCCATCAACTCAAGGCGCTGATCAATGCCCCGGCAGCACGCCCCAACACTGTCCCCGCGCCGCCGAATATCCAATCTATATACAGGAAGATCCAACAAGGCGCGCAGTCCCAGAACCTATCCCGATCATCATGGCTAGCTCTATCGGTCAGTTGTCGTTCCATTCCTTAACTCGCAGCAGCACGAGCAGCTAATGTGTCCTCTGCCCCAGTAGACAGCCACCACCATGACGATGAACTCCCCTGAATCCCTGACAGAACTCTACCAACTAGCCAGCACCTCCCAATCCGCCAAGGAGAGCCTAGCGACAGCGGAATTCATGCGCGAAGTAGGCCTCAAGTGCATTAGCTTCAACGGAATCCCACGGACCATCAACTGCCTCAATGCCTTCAAAGCCAGTCTCCCCGAATCAATCAGTTCGCAACTCTCACAAACCCCCACCCGAACACCTACTCCAGAGAATATCCAAGAAATCTGCGCCCGAGGTCAGAATCTCTGGGACTCAATCTACCGACCCTTCGAGAAGAAACTCTACAACAAGCTGGCGGATTCACACCCCGACCTGCCGGTCCATATTTTGAACGCTAACTATGGGGCGCTTCTGTCCGACCCTAAGCGGACTACCGGTGCGAATGTGGGCAGGTTAGCAACTTCGATTGTTGCTATCGCATGTCTTCGTGCTCAGACGGGCGTTGGCCCGCAGGTGACGTCACATGTGTTTGGTCTGCGGAAGGCGGTTGAAGATGGAACGTGGGTGGCTGATATGGAAGCAGAAGAGGGTGCCAAGTGGCTGGCCAGTGAGGAGGGTAATACTTGGATTATACAGAGTGTTGACGATATTGTCGAGACAATCAGTGGAGGGACGGGCTCGAACTTTACACCTGCAAGATCAGCCAAGATATAGATATATACTATGGCCCGATACTCATGTATAATAGAAGCCATCTGGCAAGCACAGCTATATGATATATCCATACCTATTGCATAATATAGGTGACTGTTTTCCTTGTATGCCTCCTTGTTACTCAGATGAGTCATCCTCAATGCCCAACCCGTTCATTGCAACTACCAAAGTCACAATGCCTTGGATGCAAAGATGGAAAATCAGTCCCACAGTAACGCCCGGGAGGCAGCCATCAGATATGGCAATACTCTTATTCAGTTTACGAATGGGTACCGATAAGCCTTCGATACAGAAACTCAATAAGGGCAAGAAGATACTCATGCAGCTGCTCTATACTAACTATGAAGCGAAGTGGAGAAAGTGGATGACCTCCGACCCCGTAGCCTCTACTGTGTAGGAAATACCTAGCTTCTCGCAGGAATCTTGGAGAGCCATATATTGATATTCAGAGAAAAAAACTTGATACAACATTGGCTCTGTCTTTAAAGGCTGCTGCTCGCCCGGCTGGGCCAACTACTTACTTGTGAACCCAGAAGTACCTCTACGCTATAAAAAGTGTTGTTTGACAATTTCACATCGCTAATATTTGATGATAACGCTAACTAATATTGTACACGGTCATATCTAACATCCGACTTCTACCCTAGTTCGTCCACCCCTTAGGCCCCGCCCAAGTGCCCTTGACCAAGGACTGGTAGTACACCCAGGGGAAGAAATGCTTCTTCAGATGGTAAAAAGAGCGACGAGGAACAGCCTGGTCAATACCGAACCAGTTGCCGAAGGTCTCCTTGGGCTCACCACCATACTTGAACTCTGCAAGCAGGACCTTGCCGTACTCCGTAACCAGGGGGCAAGAGGCGTAACCATCATAAACCGCATCAGTAGCCTTGCCCTCCATGGAGCGCAGCAAGTTGTGCACGAGAACGGGGGCCTCGGATGTGATGGCGGCCGCCGTCTTGGAGGTGGGCAGGCTGGACGCATCACCAGCGGACCAGACGTTGGCGTACTTGGTGTGGCGGGTAGTGCCGGCGTCAACATCGACATAGCCGGCCTCGTTGGCCAGAGCGCTGTCCTTGACAAACGCGTGGGGACCCATCTTAGGCACGACGTGCAGAAGATCGAACTGTCTCGTCACCTGCTCCTGGCCATCGGGGCGGGCAAAAGTGGCTTTGTTGCCGTCGACGGCGACCAGGTCGTGCTGAAACAAACCTTCAACGCCCCTCTCCTTGCGCATAGCCTCGAGGGCAGCGCCGTACTTGGCGACGGCGAACATGGAGGGCATACCGGTGGCAAAGCTGATGTTGATGGGCGAGCTGGCGGGGTTGCTGGGGTTGTACAGACCAGCCCGCTTCCAGTAGTCCAGGGCCATCCACAGGATCTTCTGGGGGGCGCCGGCACACTTGATGACTCCCGCGGGTTGGGTGAAGATGGCGTTGCCCTTCTGCAGCTTTTCCACGGTGGAGAAGACCTTGTCGCAGGTGTCATACCCGTAGATAGAGGAGACCAGAGAATCCGGGTTGGCGAGTGCCTCAGGCAGACCCTTGACGCTGCCATAGTTGATGCTGATACCGGGGACAACCACCAGGTGTTCGTAGTTGACCTTGTCACCATTGCCCAGGGTGATGGAGTTGTTCTCCGGCAGGAAGGTGCCCACGCTCTCGTTGTAGAACTTGAACTTGGGGTCAATCAAGTCGTGCATTGGGCGGCGCAGATCCTCCTTGGTCTTGACACCACCACCGACCAGGGTCCAGCCGGGTTGGTAGTGATGCCACATGGAAGGATCGACGACGGCAATGTCATCTTGGGCGAATTTGCCGGAGCGAAGCAATTGATGGCTGATAGCCAGGCCGGCCGTGCCACCGCCGACGACGACGACCTTATGACTGCGTGCCACAGGGCTCACGGGGGCGGCCGTTGCGAAACTCCGCTGTGCTGCGGCGATTGAACGGCCAGCCGTAGATGCTGCCGACGTGGCGTTGCGGCAGAACATTTTTTGGGGGTATTTTAGCGTGATTGATACAATGAATGGATGCAATATACACAGTATACACAAGTAGTTTTGGAGAGAAAGAAATTGAAGCTTCGCAAAGAATTGGGGAAAGAGCCACGAGCTGGACGAGACCCGCGTTCCTAAAGTCTATAGCCAGTGAGCCACACACCACTAGTACAAAGTAGTCTTTAATTCCCCAAAGTTTTCGGGGCCCCACCGTTTAAGTACGATGGCGTGATCACCTCTCGGCGACTTAGTCATCACCATCGGGCCGTCTCGGTCGCCGACTGCCCTGGTCGCCGACCGGCTCCCCGATAACTACTCTCGATAGTATAGGAATCCTTCGATTTGATTCACCTCATCCTACTACTTACTCGTGATGTGAATACGAGCTGTGGGTGGAGCAAATCAAGAACGATGGTTCGACCTGTGATGCAGTGGAAGAACTCATTCGCTAAGTCGCAGTCGTCGCTGGCCTTCCTCACAAGTCTCCATGCAGGTAGCGGCGTGAAATATCGATGAACATCATCGACAGTTGAGTATGCTTGATGAGCTCTGTCATAAAATCATCTGTAAAGTTGTTCAAGAAAGAGCGGCATTCAACGGGTGATCTTCTTGAAGGGTGCAGTCTGATGCAAACGATAGACCATTCCTATTAGATCCCCGCGTCTTCTCCGAGGTGGGCAGATACCTGAAGCCATCAATCAGCCCACACTGTGCCGGCTGGGCGACGGTCGCCATTCACTTACAGAACCGTATCCCGACCCAGTATTGTTCGTTCCTGTTACCACTGGACTGTGGGGTTCTGGAACAAACCAAGGAAACAGAAAGAGGAACAGAAGGAGTCTATATCTGATCATGCTAATTCGCCCTAGGGGCGAGATTGCCCGGGTTCATCGGCGTTCGTCGGCTCCTAAACGCTTTGCATATTCGCCGATCCATCGGGCCGACCTATTGGCTGCTCTTCTAAGAGGCCATTTTGACAGTCTAGGCAAGCCTCTGGATCCTGATGCCCAATATATTCTATGAGTCGTGTGATAGATACAAGCAAGCAGAGTCCACGTATTTGAAACCACAGCCTTGCTCTCCTTTCCAGCGTTCTACGGACTGCTCATGTGCTCGAACTGCGGCACTGCCTCGATAAACTCAGCCCACAGCTGATTTCAGTTCGTTTCGCCCTCCCCCTCCCCCTGCAGGTGATAGGCCAGTTTCCCTGGCTTCTGGTCTCGATGATACATCCCTAGCAAGTGGCATTGCTGGCCGCGAGCGCCGTCCCTGCAGCGTCACCCGTAAAGTCTGTAACACCAGAGGGATGCCCTTGACATGAGATATTGACTCATTCAGTAGCCGATAAGCTGCCCACACCTCTTCCTGACGCATTGCGGCATCCACCGCCGTCGGATACACAGACACATCACTGGCTAACAGCACTGCGGCATGAAAGCATGTTCCATGACTGACCACAGTCGGCATGGATTCACGCTCACCAGCGGGACAGTATCATCCCTCAATCGCCGGAGATCTAGCACTATCCGTCCCGACCGTAAGCCCGACTCTCGGAACAGGCACATTGACTCTGAACCGTGCTTTCCTAATGGAACCGGTGGCGCAGCCAGCACAGCCAAGTATGCGCGCTGAAGTGCAGAACTAGCCGCTGCCTGGCGATGTAGGGTCACTCTTCACAGACCGCCTGACTCTGTCGGATACTAGTCGGTTCAAATTTATAGAATACTGGCAGGTTCCTCAAATAGCCAACTGGGCATCAAGCTCCAGAACAGCACCGTAGTAACACTCGCTTGGTTCAACCAACTGACTGACAGTCGGCCTACGGTCACATTACACAACGACGCAAGTTCGATATTCGCCCGATTGAGGCTGAGATGGCCGTTGCCACGGCTCGGGGGAACTGACGGCTCACACCGGCGTCGGTAATGATGTGATCATTCGTATGAATTAGACATGAGACTCTCATATGTCGACGCTGGAAGATATAAGTACCTTCTTGCAGGCCACTGGAGAAGGCAAGCAAACTGCAGAAATTATCGTTGGCGTTTTAGGGACAGTGGAGGATGATGGCCGGATTACTAGTCCGATGAGACCATGTGCCAGCAGATGCGCCGTTGTACTTCAACATCAACTCCATTACACCAGTTAAATCGCTGCTGCTCATGTTCCAGCGGGCAATCTAAGCGTGAATGCGCATCGCCTGTGCCATCAGTAGTCCGCGGGCACGTAGCAAATGCACTGGGTCTTGAAGGCCGTCGGCATTGGTGTGGAGGTACATGAGCAGGCTAAACGCCGCAAGGGCCGTGGTCGAAGGGGAAGCAATGTGATCTAATAGTTCGAGTGCTAGTTTAGTGTATGCTGCATAGGTGCCTTTGGCGTGGGCAGGGATGGCTCACAAGTGCTGCAGTAAAGCTCCAGGGTCCCAGCAAAAGCAGTAGTGAGCGACATCGCCAGGGGAGGAGTCGGCCATGTCGCTCCCTTGAACTCTGGTAATGCGATGCAGAGGGAGAAGATGGACATGGTGCGCGAGCTTGCGACATAGAAACCCGGTCGTTTGCGCAGGCTACAGTCGAAACCCGGTTAACTGCAGTCGCAGCACAGTTTCTTGTCCTACTTCGCGGGCTTAATTAGGTATAGGAATTGAAACTTCAATCACATTGAGGTGCAAATCCATGGTCTGGCACAAGCTTAACAAGATGTGACCTCGCGCCCATTGGTGCATGATGACGGTCCGCGCTTTTGACTCATGGTACAAGGAAACATCGACCGTAGACTGTGATCAATACCAATGCCAATGTCTCAGATAAGGGAGAGAGGAGTTGTCTAATTAGACAACGTGGGCCATGCTTAGTATCCAGTAAGGAGATAGATGGACAAGAGTTGTGGCCTGGACGACCCAGAGCTTTGGGGAAAGATGGGGTGTCTCCACGGACTAACTAGTCATTTCGAATTAGTTTGAGAGTGCTCAGGCAGCATAACATATCAATAATAAATTGCCTTGTATTCAATCACTCCCCAGCTCGAAATCTAGGGCTGAGGGGGGGTCTCGGACCACTCCGAGCCAGAACCTGGCGGACGCACCCGGAGCCAAAGCAGAGACAAGCAGCACCAAAAGTTCAAGCTCATGTCACCAACCTGACCATCAACCAAGGATACAACACACAGATACAGCATACTGGTGTAGCCACCGGAGAAACAAACCAGAGAGGCCGCGGAGAATATGATTACCGCCGTTAGTGGGATAGTAATAATCAGGCAACCAGATAGCCAGTTGCGAAATGGCGGAGACAACGCCGATGAGTGCCATGGTATTGGATTGGCCTAGATGGTCAGACAGAAAAGCCCGGCGCAATGGGGCAGACCATGGATCCCGCATTGAATATATACAGCGTGTATTGCGAGAGGCAGAGATCCATGCCAGCCTCATTTGCCTTTAATGGCAGGTATTCAAAGGGAACCAGAGGGGAGAAGTTGCAGCAGAATACACCAATTCAGAAGGCCAGCCAGGCCACCGCGTTGTGCTGCAGTCCCGCCCATTCGTTATTAGGTTTCTGAGCTACCTCAGTGGGGTCCGGCTCATTGGTGATGTCTGCTCTAGGGACACCTGAAGATGAACCTCGGCTAGTTTCCTTCTCGCGCATTGCCGCAACACACTTGGGATAAAAAGGTCCCTCACAGCGATTCACTCCGGTAGCCATGCAGACACCGACGACCAGGAAAAGCCGTGATTGTTGATGAAGTGAGACATCATGATCGGAAAGATCAAGTCTCCACAGCTGCTGCCAGCGCTTGCGAGACCAGCAGCCAGACCGCGCTTCGTCGAAAGCCACAACTGCGTGGCGCAGATAACGGCCGGCAGCGTTGTACCTGAGCATGCTAAACCATAGGCATTGCCCTGGCAAAAACTAGGGACACAGCGCCGAGGACAGCAAAGGGAGCAATAACGGGACGGATACCGTACCAGTCAACAAGCCCGCCGATGGAGATACCGACACCGAAAATGAGGAAGGAAGCAGTGGTGGTGATCCAGCCCAGCTGGGAGGACAAATAATCAGGCAGCATCACTTTCGCAATGGTAGAGGGTGAAGACCCCACACCTGTGGGAGATTAGCATGCACCGGCCTCTCTCGCATGAAGCAGATATCTGACGCGGCACGTGAACAAGTTCCTTTGTCTCCCTCCCTTCTCTCCGCTTTTCTGTCCGCTGATAAGATGAAACTACAGAGCTTTGGTCGGCATTCGGGCCACCGGTACTTTGGCTAATGATTCGGACAACTGGGCCTTACTGGTTGCGGTTGTCGGATCTATCATGGCATTGGAAGCTCTCTGTTTCAGTTTAGTTCGGGTGCAAAGGACGGGTGGAATCCCTTGATGAAGGTGTAGTGGGATAACTTGTTTCAGCGATTGGGACCTGGTATCCTGCACGAACCATGCGTACACTATCAGCTCTTGCTGCATCTTCTTTGTCTAGCGAGTTATCATAGATCGTTGCTCGGGGGAGGGGGTGGGGTGAGATCCCTCGTTTGTGCGGTACTGAGCTGCTAGGTCATTTTGGAAAGCAGGATAAGTGTCGAAAAGCTCGATTGTTTGCAGTATATCATGAGGCGATCGAAGTCAACGTTGCAATATTTAGGTAGTATAACTAAGGACAGGGCGGCATAACGGCCGACTATGCCCAATCTGGCAAAGCTAACTACAAGTGACGGGAAATTCACAGATCCTATCTAAAATCCTCGACCAGATTCTGCCAACAGTATACAATTCACCGGAATGGCGTATGTCCGACTATGTGGGTCGCTTTAGCAGGATTGAACAGCTCCCAGACCTTCTGGATGGCCCGACGAGTAGCCAAATCAATAGGGTTGCACTTATGTGGGCATCCCTACGGGCGGTACTTAGTGATAACTAATCAATAGGCTTCTTATCTGATCGCGGGACAACCGCACTACTCAGGAAAGTGGCTGTATATGTCTACTGCTTCCTGTATCAACCACAAATGGTCAATGTAGTGGGCGAACCATGTTATATTTCAGCCCCGGCTGGGAATGTGATGCAAACGGTGCCTGGTGATCAAGGATGGACGCGAGCCACCGTTGGAATCGGCCGATCGCGCGCGCAACATCGTGGAGCGCCAAGCTGCAGTCTTCTTCTTTTTTCCCTTCTTCGGGGAGAAATACCGGAAAGTTTTGTTTTTCTGTTTTGCGGGACCAAAGGAAGCGAGGGTCCCACACCCCCTGCAGGATCTAACCCTAGATAGATAGCCATCTTTCAAGACCGTACGGTACATCCTCCACTGCACTTTTTCTTTCCGGGTGGAGAGTGACGGGCTAAATGCTCAGCCTGCATCACCCCCAAATTACCTAACACTTTTCCCAGGCAACTTCCTATGGCGTAAGTACTGGTGTATCTTACACTCTATGTTCTGTTACAGGATCCACCAATGTATTCTTACCGTCTGTCACCCCCGTATTTACATCGTCTGGTAAGTATCGTGTCTTAAGTGGATTGATTTGATGCCCACCAGCTGGCTCATTGTGGCCATCGCCCCCTCCCTCCCCTCTCTCTGCGTCTCTCTCTTTCTCTCTCCCTCTCCACTCCTATTTCCACTGTTAATCTGCCCATAGAATGGTAGCCTTGGCCACAAGATGTCTGCAATCCCAGTTGAGTAACGTAACGAGACCGGCCTCTAATCGGGGCCTTCTTCTCCCCTAGACTAGATTTTCAGTACGTAGTATCTATCTAGCCCACCCCGATGGCGCAGATGATCCCCTCCTCCATTCGGACGTCTGCAGGACCCCTGGTTGAGTTTTTCTCGAACTGAAGCTGGTCCACTGTGGAACCCCCTCCAGTATTCTGGCAGCCGAAAAGCGGCCTTGTTCGTCCATGACGCACTGACAACGCCGCGTCGTCGAAGCAATAAATCAACCGCGGCGCCGGCCAGAATTTCTGCTGCTGTCCAGGCTTCCCCGACCATCGAACCTCGTCGCCATGGCATTCTTCACCAAGCTGGCGGGCTATCCCCGCCTGCTGCTGGCCGGTAACCCCTCCAAGTACGATTTGGGTACCTTGCTCTCCGCCATCGTGTTTGCTATCGGTTCGGGTGTCCCCTTTCCCATCATCGCCATTGTCTTCGGTCAGCTCCTCGACAACTTCAACGACGTGACCTGCACCGAAGAAAACGGCGGAGGTGACACCTCCTCCGACTCCAACAGCATCAACCACGAGATCCTCCTGATCGTCTACCTGGCAATCGCCCAGTTCGTCCTCATCTATGGCCACCTCACGTGCTGGACCCTGTACGGCGCTCGTCTAGCCCAGCGCCTGCGTGAACGCTACCTGAAGAATCTCCTCCGTCAGGAACCTTCCTTCTTCGATAACCTGCCTCCTGGTGAGGTAGCCTCGCGACTGAGCAGCGATATTCAGACCATTCGTTCGGGCACCTCAGAGAAAGTCGGCATCACCCTGGCAAGTTTCTCGTTCTTCGTCACAGCGTACATTGTGTCTTTCATCAAGGATTGGGAGCTGGCTGCCATTCTGCTTTCTTTGATTCCGGCCTACCTTCTGATGTCCTTCGTGGGCAGTCATTATATCGAAAAGTACTCTGGGCTCATGTCGGACTATGCCGCCAGTGCAGCATCCATTGCTTCTGAGGCCCTGTCGAACATCGTCGTAGTGCAGGCCTTCGGCGCCAATGCCCGCCTGGAGAAAAAGTTCGCTGGTGCGCTCAAGTCATCTGAAACGCAGGGTCTGAAGAAGGCTACCGCTGTGGGTATCCAGTCTGGTGTTTTGTACTTCATCGCCTATTCGGCCAACGGTCTGGCTTTCTGGAAAGGAAGTCACCGTATCGCCGATTCAGTCAGAGATGGCACAGCAGGTGTCACTGTCGGTGCTACTTTTACTGTCATCTTTGTCTTAATCGAGGGTGAGTTGATGTAGCCTGTGCTGTTTCCTTAGCCAATGCTAATCATATGTATAGCTACTCTGCTACTTAGTCAGGTCGCGCCCTTTCTCCACTTGTTCGTCGCTGCTACTGCTTCGTACGAGAAACTGCGCGAAGATCTCGATCGCGAACCCCAAATTGATAGCACCGGCGAGTCAGGCATCCGTGTCTCACAAGCGGAGGGCGGCTTTGAGTTCCAGAATGTCACCTTTCAGTATCCGTCACGCCCTGAGGTCACCGTTCTCGACAACATCAGTCTCTCTATTCCTGCAAACAAACACACGGCTCTTGTCGGGTTGTCAGGAAGCGGTAAATCTACCATCGCTGGCCTTGTTACTCGGTTGTATGATCCGGTAGACGGAAAAATTCTCTTTGATGGTCACGACCTGCGTGAAGTCAATGTCCGCGACCTGCGCAGCTACCTCAGTCTGGTGCAGCAAGAGCCCTCCCTGCTCGATCGTTCCCTGCTGGAGAACATTGCCCACGGCCTGATGAATTCAAGTAACCCGGATCATGAACGCCTGAAGATGGCCCTGATGAGCTCCGACCTGACTGAAGTTGCCCGCGAGGTCCGGGAGGGCCAGGATCTTATGGCTGCCGCCGAGAAACGCGGCGCAGAAATTGTCGAGGTTGTCAAGATGGCCTGTCACGCTGCGAAATTGGCTGATGCGGATACCTTCATTTCAGCATTGCAACATGGATACGGTACCATGGTTGGATCTAGCGGACGTCTTATCAGCGGTGGTCAGAAGCAACGTGTATCACTAGCTCGAGCCCTGGTCAAAGACCCTGCTGTCCTCATTTTAGACGAAGCCACGGCGTCGTTGGACTCCCGGAGTGAACAGCGCATCCAGCGGGCCATCGCCGGCATTGCCAGTGGCAGAACCATGATCACGATTGCTCACCGACTGTCAACCATCACCAGCGCGGACAACATCATCGTCATGTCTAAGGGCAGAATCTTGGAGCAAGGGACCCACGCTGAGCTAATGGCCAAGGAGGGCGCATATTTCGACCTAGTCAAATTACAGACGCTGGGAACCGCGTCCGCCAAGACTGACGCCTCCGCAAGCGTGGACAGTATCAGCAAATCTGATGACACCTCGCTGACGGAAGCTGAGAATGAAAAGGCCAGTCTCACCCTGGACACCCTCGAGAAGACGGAGGAGACCAAGGTCTCGGAAACCGAAACCCCAGCCGGCAATGAGGCTGCCGAAGAGGAAGAGCCGGAGACTCCCAAAAAGTCACTGTGGGCACTGGCTAAGGGATATGCCCCTGCATTGCGGCCACACCTCCTATATGTTTTCCTCGCCTTGATTGGATCCAGTATCGTCGGTGGAGCCTTTTCTGGTGAGGCTGTTATTTTTGGTAACACCGTCGGCAGCCTGAATCCCTGCAAGAGTGCCTCCAGTATCAGCAACCGCGGTGACTTCTACGGACTGATGTTCTTTATCCTCGCTATCATTGAGTTCTTCGCCAACGTGGTCAGCTGGTCCGGCTTCGGTTGGGTGTCCGAGAAGATCGTTTACACTGTTCGTGTCCTTTCATTCCGCTCGCTGTTCGAGCAAGACCTGCATTGGCACCAGTCAAATGGACGCAGCCCTGCCCTTCTGCTGTCGTACATTACACGCGATGGCAACGCCCTGGCTGGACTGAGCGGCTCGGTCATCGGCACGCTCTTCTCCATCACCGTCAACCTCATCGCTGCCATTATTCTCACGCACATCATTGCCTGGAAGATTGCGCTTGTCTGTCTGGCCCTGGTGCCGCTGCTCCTTGGTGCTGGTCTCATGGAGCTGCTTGTGCTCGGCAAATTTGAGGAGAAGCACGAGAATGCCTACACCAAGTCGGTGGACATTGGCGTGGAGGCAATCACCTCCATCAAGACCGTCTCCTCCCTGTCTATCCAGCAGGATATCCTGCAAACCTACCGCGCCTCCCTGAAGGGGCCCCGCATGGAGACCCTCGTAGTAACTCTGCAAGCCAGTCTCTGGCAGGCTATGACTTACTTCCTGGGCAACCTCGTCAATGCGCTCGCCTACTGGTGGGGTGCGAAGCAGATTATCGAAGGCACATACACGCAGACACAGTTCCTGATCGTGGTGTTTTCCCTGCTGGTCAGCGCCCTACTCTGGAGTCAGATGTTTGCACTGGCTCCAGAACTGTCCAGCGCGCGTGCCGCTATGGCTCGCATCCTAGGACTGATTGAGATCGGTTCCGACAAGATGCAAGGCCGGGTGCCAGACCATAGCAATTCTTCCTCCGATCCTGAAGCTTCCACCACTATTGAACCCAAGCCCACCACCCCCGCCAGCATCCAGCTCCGTGACGTGCACTTCGCCTATCCCGCCCGACCAGACATCCAAGTCCTCAAAGGCCTCACTCTCGACATCCAGCCTGGTAAATTCTTCGCCCTAGTTGGCCCCTCCGGAGCCGGAAAGTCTACCATCATCTCCCTCATCGAACGCCTCTACACCCCGCAATCCGGCAGCATCGCCATCGACCACACAGACCTGAAGAACCGACCCCCTAGCTTCCGCGACACCATCTCCCTTGTTCCTCAAGAAAGTGTTCTCTTTGAAGGCACTATCGCCTTCAACATCGGGCTCGGTGCACCCCCGAACCACACTGCGACGCAGGAGGAGATTGAAGCTGCCTGCAAGCTAGCTAACATCCACGATACTATCATGGCACTGCCAGATGGATACGAAACAATGTGTGGACCGAATGGGAACCAATTCTCGGGTGGACAGAAGCAGCGGTTGTCGATTGCGCGGGCCTTGGTGCGCAAGCCTCGGTTGTTAATTCTGGATGAGTCTACGAGTGCTTTGGATGCAGAGAGTGAGCGGTTGTTGGAGGAGGGCCTGGAGAGAGCAGCGAAGGGTATCACAGTCGTGGCAATTGCGCATCGACTGAGGACCATTCGCAAGGCGGATGTCATCTGTTTGATTGAAGCAGGCGTTTGTGTCGATCGCGGAACACATGAGGAGCTTATGGAGCGATCGGCGAGTTATAGGGAGAATGTGTTGCATCAAACCGTGGAGTAAACCTATGGTTATTCTTTCCGTCAATTAATAGACTTTAATAAATAGATCGCTTGCATATTTGTATATACCATTCAGTTACAATTCGTTTGCAAAAAATGCAGTCTGGCATTGGAAGTGTTTGTTCTCTGATATTGACTAAAGACTTCTGACCGTGTTATGGTCTGTCTCAATAGAAACTAATAAGTACGTAAAGCCTCTGCATGGGTGGCAGAGTTGCAGTTTCACGTCTCCCATATTTCACTATTATAGAAAAGAACTCACAGATGTAGTCATCTGCCATGAACGAAAGCTCCCCTGACCATAGGCCATCAACAACCGCCTCGCAGACAACGGCGTATTAGCCGGATATCTAGATTTGAAGTGCCAACGAGTAAAATATCAACGTCCACCTATCCTTCACTGCCTTGTTCTCGGTCTTTTTCTTGCTATATCCATTAATTTGTCATAAATAGCCTTGGTATAGTTATTAGTTGGAAGCGCTTGTATCACCGGAATCAAGTATTTCCGAGACCAGAGTCTTGGGCTGTTCCAGTGCCTCGCCATGGCTAGTGCTAGTCAGGCAGCTATACTCTGCAGATGCGTCGGAAAAGACCGACCCGAGAGACTATCAATCAGCTGAATGTGGGCGCATGGATAAATAGGTCGTTTGTTGTGTGTAAAGGCCATGTTTGCACTAGTAAGAGAGTATGCGGCTAGTAACAACACTAGTAAATGACAAGTGGGGATATTGATTGATAAGACTAATCAGATCTGATAGCTGCAGGACAACCCACTACCAAGAAATTGTCCGGCCAAGGTATCCAGAACTGGTTAGTTTCTTTATAAATCATGAGAAGCTACGGAGAGGATAGTCGTAATTAATCTCTCATAAGAATCGATTCTCTGAGCCATGGGAGATGCATATCGCCGACCAATAGGATTTTTTGGGGGAGGGTACAGCTTGCTGGTGCAGGGAGCTGCAAGCGAGTTCTGCTAGACTTTTTCTTTCTCCTGCCAATATATTGTTAGGAACAGGGTTGGACTGTTTTTGAGTTCTTGCCACCATACTCCATAGTCCGAGTCGTATGATAATCGCGCTGTCTAGCCCGATCCAGAGTTACCACTTGAGTATCTAATCTAATCTGATTGTCTGTAAATTGAGGAAATCTGCTGAAACCTGGAACTTGAGTTTGGACTCTGAAGAGCATTGGGCCTACACCACAATCGGAATCTAGTCGCCTTGCACGTGGCTTTCCCTTCGGGGTGGTCTTGCATGCAACAAGGTTCGAGCTTAGTATGCAGGGTAGCTGGAGTGTAGCCGGAGCTGGCGGACAGTGTACTGCAACGCAACAACACTGGCTGAATTGATTAACATTTTACAATCCTATGTCCCTTGCTTGATATCATCCCACCCAAATATATCGATTGATAGATCATTTGGCGTGCACATAAGGATTGCCGCTGTGTGAAATACCCTCCCATCTAGTGAAAGCTGGGAAAAACAGACCATCATTACACCTAGTGTATCAATCATGCATCTTTCTTTCCTCCCATAAAATTCTCCTGTCCGGCGGCAGCTTGGCCAAGAACACGGTAAGTGCATTAGGGTACACCATGTGCCGTCTAATACCTGTATTGAATCATGGTGTAATCGACGGTATCGGTTCCACCCGCTTACCGTATACCCACCCACATCTCCGTCTAAAACAAGCGTGTCTCACTCAGTTATCTGATTGACCCCACCAGCATCCTCATCATCCCAAAACCCCTGCCTAAAGAAGCAATAAAAAGAAAAAACAAAAGAAGTAACCTAGTCAATTCCATGACTCATTTTATTCATCCGAGCAATTTCCTACCTCTTACCCAAGGACCAGCTTGGTCCTCGCTAAGAATCTGATCCTGCCAAGCAACTTATCTCGGATCAGATAACTTTCTCCTAGTCACATGTTTCCCGCTCTCGGACCAGTAGATTTTATCGCGCCCACGGTGGGCATTCGGAAGCGGCCATCGGACAAATGCATTTTCAAGTCAGTTCACCGGTACGAACACCGCATTCTGAGGAAAATCAACGCGGGCCTGTAAACGTAGGCTTGTATTTCTTTTCACCAGCCATGCCTCCTTAATCAGACTGTACACATCTAACATGGTACATTGCTTATTCGCTGCGCTTCTTTTCTGCCTACATGATAGGCCAGTCACCGGAAGCAGCATGAGTAAGTTGTCTAGATCTTAATATGGAGATCCAAAATTGCCTTATATGAATGATATAAGCAGCTGTAGAGGGGCTGGAAAATTAGAAATATCACATGTATATCATGATACTATATATATACTATGTTAACTTCGTTGCTATCTTGATCCACAAAGGGAGAAGAATCACGAGAATTCACTGGTTAGTCGCGATAACTGGCTGAGCAGTCATAACCATTTCTGCATTATGAGACCTTTCACTTATTTATCAATGATGTTTGGCCGCGCCATTCTCCTCTGGCTTCTGCTGGGATTCCGCGACTAAGAGTCGTCTTGAAACGGAGGCATGTGTGGTATGGGTATAGAATGTGCAACAGTGCTCCGTAAACTAGTGATTATTTAGGCGTAATCCGGGGGAAATTCATAGACTGCATGTCCCAAAGCTTCGAAAATTGAGCTGATCTCATTAATCGGGGCTACGAAGACCGCTGTTGCGAGGGTTGGAAGGAAGAATGACCGGGTCCAAGGGAGGAGGCTGCAACAGCAGAATCAGTCAATGACTCCATGAGATACAACAAAAACAGTTAATATAATGGGTTCCGAGCGAGTCGAAGAAAGGTTCATCGATCGTGAGGGTTAAGCAACCGCAAGATATGTTACCAAAGAAGCACAAGGATCTTAGATACAGAGGGCTACTGTTAAATGATTTACGATGTGATACAGGCGTAGGGGTAATGGAGTTGCAGAAGATTTTGTAGTGGGATTTCCGGTGGGATTGAGAAAGAAGCTAGAAGTCCGCAACGCGGCCTGGTGCATATGCTCCATCCCAGGAAACATTTGCTAATTGAAGACGATGCTGCTACTCTAGCCAGGTGTTCCCCACACTAGTGGCATTGCAACTGACTTATCCTACGTCAGAAAGGGACTTTGATGTTCTGCGCCAACCGCGGTCCCCAGTGTGTCGATATGGCTGATCGGATGATGCAGAAATCCTGACTGGAGGTAGCCGCCGGGGCCATGTCGGCGTGTTGCTCACTGCCGCATTTATTTGCTATCGTGTACTTAGGCTTAGAAGCCCGCAAGTACCCACGGTTCGCCTAGTCTCTTTAACGGGGTGTGGCGACGAAGAAGAGTGTGCGGTATGGGCGCTTTGAAGGTCGAAGAGGCAGATGTCAGGGTTGTCTTGTATTCTGTACTTCACTGAGACTGAGGCTGCAGCACTCATCCCTCTACAGGTCCCACTCTCACCTCTTCGCGTCTCCGGAGTTCGGCCAACTCCTGTGCTTTCTCATCGGCAGCCCGTCGTTTTTTCTGCCTGCTCGCGAACCGCTTCTTCCCACCAAACTTCAGCTTCGTAATCAGGTCTGCGGCCTGGCCCCGTGTCAAATCCCCAGGCGCAATCCGCCCATTCCGAATCTTAGCTTTATTCAGCATCGTCACCTGTGCTGCAGTGGCTGGATGCTGACGCCAGGGCTGCCGGGTGGAGATGTAACGTTCGTCGAATTCAGAGGCTGCGAAGGTATCAGCAGCACGGACTGTGGATTCAAAGTCCATGGCCGTAGCGATCAAACGTGGCCGAGTGTACTGGGTATTTTCAGTAGCAGACTTGAACTTCATCACATGGTGGACGGTATATGTAGCGGGCGGGTCACTTTCTTTTCCCTTGTTAGATATGTTTCTAGTCTTTTCAAGGGTGATCCATCCTGTTGAGTCAGACAGTGTATATTTGTCCTCATCTACGCGGACCCAGGCGTAGCGACTGAGGGAGCGGATGTGTTTCTCAGACTTCATATCATGAATGAGGTCGTAGATGGTATCGTACTTGGTGAAGGTGAGTTTGATATCATCGGTTGTGTCGGGTTCTTCGGCAGATGTGTTTGTCTCTGGCGGATAATCGGTGCGGCCTTCGGCATCCGTTGCGGCATCCTCCTTCTTTTCTCTTAAATTTTTTGCCCTCGCGCTTTCTAGAAGCTCATCTGGGTGTAGGCCGAAGAGTGTGGGGGTAGAAATGACACCAGTGTCCAGGGTAGCCACCATGTCAATTATATGGCAGTCGTTCTTCCCCGGGTGCAGCCGTAAGCCTCGTCCGATCATCTGTATAAGAAGATTTCGAGACCGTGTCGGACGTGCCAGGAGGACGCAGTCAATATTGGGAATATCTGTACCTTCTGTAAATAAGCCACAATTGAGAAGCACGGGATACTCCTGGTTCCGGAAAGCACGCAGCTGCTCATCGCGCACATCCCTCGGAGTTCCCGCCGTGATATATCGAGCGTCAATGCCCAGTGCGCGGAACGCCTCAGTAAGCTGTCTAGTATGTTCAACGTCGACACAAAATACCAGTGTAGACTTTCGACCGTGTGCGTTAGCCAGCCATGCGCGTACAGTGATATCATTAGTTCTCGTGGTATTGACGGCTTCCGAGAGCGAGCTGATAGCGAAATCACCGAATTTGTCCTTCTTAACGCGTGAGAGATTTGCTTCTGACCGAACAGTGGTAAAAATGGCATTGGACAGCCATTTTTCGTCAATCATATCCATGTAGTCCTTATGGTACACTATATGGTCGATTGCGGCACCCAGTTTGAGTCCATCGAAGCGTGAGAACGTGGCAGAGACCCCGACGAGAGCTGGCGAGTCCGGCGACGGGTTACTGAGGCCAAAATGTTCGAGAGCAACGCGGTACGTCGGTGCAACAATGTGGTGTGCCTCATCCACCAAGACAAGCTTGAAACGTCTGGGATCAAATTTGGAGATCCTATCCTTGGAGGTGAGACTCCGTATGGAAGCAATGATGATATCCCCAGACCCAGACGCGACACTATTCCCCATCTCAATCTCCACAGCTCGATCGGGATAGGCAAGGCGACAGTGTCGGGCAGCTTGCTCTACTAGCTCCCTTCGGTGAACCAGAATAAGGGTCTTGTCATGGACACCATTCCGCGGCGGTATTCGTCCGATTAATTGGGTGAAGATGACCGTCTTCCCCGCTCCTGTGGCAAGCGAAATACCTAGACGTTTGTGACCTTGTGCCAGATGATCCAGCACAGACTGAATGCATTCTTCTTGGTAGTCGCGGAGAACGATCAGCGGAGGGGTTTCTGGGGCTGTAATTGCTGAGGGAAGGGCGGCGGATGTGACTGTAGAGCGGAAGCGCAGGTGCGGATAATGAATCGACGTAAGGGACCACCGCGGGCCTCTAAAAGCCCTCAGGACGCTGGAAACGGGATATCTCCCCAGTTTCTGGCGAATGCAATCCATTCAGATGCCATGAAGCAGGATCAGTCCGTGAGAGGCGTGCGAGTGACTTCCAGTTCGATGAACGTGTTGTGATGGGAAGCTGATCGGTATTCGGAAGGTCATTGTTCCGAAGAAGCTTGAGATACCTTAAATGATGATCGGTTGAGCCAGGAAGAAGACTGAGGCTATCTCTCTCTAGATCATGTGACGATATTTTTTACGTACACTTCCGGGAATAAGACCCACAGGCGATAGAGAAATTCCGTATCGGTCCGTATATAGTGTACTATATACCTATCTAGTATGACATATGTATGGAGTACTCCATCCTAAAGCCTTCCTTCATTCCCTCGATCGTTCTAGTAATTTTCTTTGTCCCCCCTCCGGCTTACCGCCCTCACATAATCCGGCAGAATTTGTTGATTTTCCCGGGCGGCGAGGGACCGTGTGATGAGTCAGCAGGGAGCAAGCGGGACGACAATTTCTCATCTGCGTTCAACCCATTCCGGACTCGAGAATACTCAGCGGTCCTTGAAGTGCTCCCACCCAGCACTTGCACGCCAGCCAAGTGCCCTTAACGAACTAATTATATTCCCCCCTAGACACCCTAAAATCGGTCAGTGCTTCTATTCCAGCCCAGTTTTGCCCCCCTACTGCCTTTTCCGGTAATTCTCGCTGCTTTCCCACCAACCCTACCCCCGTGTTTACCCAGCTCTCAACGCTCACCCCAGGCGGGATCGACACCTCACACCTCCCCCCCTATATATGGTTCTCCGGGTTGAAGCCATCCCATCTGTTCACTTTACTGCCCACTCTCACAATCATTATCGCAATGATGGACTGTGCTGGTAACCCAACTAACACTAACATGCAGTCTCGTGACTGGTGTATCTGGCTCACGGTCTCATCATGCCGGCCGTTCACGGGGACTTGATGACCACGGTCGTCCCCACGGAGAAGGAGTTGCCCCTTGACATCGTGCCGCGACAGGTCATACTCAGGGATCGAGTCACGGTCGCCACCTTGGTCCCCTTCACTTCAGCGGATGCGATCCCTCGCTCTTTATTAGCTTATCTATCCGATCAGTTAAATAAGGAAATCGAAGGTGGTGATACCTATGCCATGATTGATCCCATCCCCTTGGAGCAGTTTGGGCCGTATTGGTTCTCCAATTTTGGCGCCATCATGCTTATGGGGGACATCAAGAGTGTGCAAGAGGTTCAAGCACTAGGTCGGAACCGCGCCAATTGGTCCAAGATCTGCTTGGGCAGCTTCAATATCCGACCCAATTATCCCGGTCGTAGTAGTCACGTCTGCAATGGCATGTTTCTGGTCACCGACGCCGCCCGAAACAAAGGTGTAGGTCGACTAATGGGGGAAGGCTATCTCGAATGGGCTCCTAAGATGGTTAGTATACCAGATACCAGTAATCTTTACTCATACCACTATCCTCGTTTCCTATCATAACCACTTAGTACTCCCCTTAGCCACTGCTTACCCTACCTCAACGTTGAAGGTTCTTTACCTTGTAGACATCCGGCTAACATTCACCAGGGGTACACATATGCGGTCTTTAACCTGGTCTATGAGAGTAACGTGGCATCTTGCCGCCTGTGGGATGCTCTGGGGTTTAAGCGGATTGGCAGGGTCCCGGGGGGCGGTCGGCTCATTTCCAATCCTGGTCAGTACGTAGATGCTATCATCTACGGCCGGGATCTAGGCCCGGAAGGGGAAGATTCTGTCACACAAGATCGGTTTGACAAGATCCGGTACTATCTCAAGCATTCCAAATACCCCAGGGGGGCTGACCGGGCTGAGAAAAGTCGGCTTCGGAGTGCAGCTACCCACTACAAGTTAATTGGAGGTAAAGATGGGGACGGTGAGAAATTGATGCTAAAAGACAAGGAGGTTGTATCCGACCCGCAGCAGCAGTACGACATTGCCCGGGAGATGCATATGCAGCAGCATGCAGGCATCAACAAGACCACAGCTGCCATTGCAGTCAAATACCATTGGGTGCGGATTAAAGAAACGGTCAGTCGGGTGATCCGGGACTGTCCACAGTGTAAAGAGATCCTTAAACCTCCGATAATCAATGGGGTTATGCATGAGGGTACCCCTGAAGATGATGACGATGATCTGGGAATTGACGAGGCTGACTTGCCGGAAGCTGATGCTGACATGGCGTCCAGCGATCCTATGAGTGCGCATGCGCTGATGGACCACGCCGCCATGGATGCTCACAATACGAACCCATTTGTGACCGCTCATTCAGTAGTGCAAGGATCAGTGGATTCCATCACCGATTACACGGGTTTGCCGCTGGACCCACAAATTATCGACATACATCAGCAGCTCCCTCGATTTCATCCACACGATACCATGACTGATCCATATGCCCACGCTGCACATAGTTTACATGCATCAAGCTTTGACAATGATGTCCGCCATCATGCGGCTCATGACTACCATATGATGGTTGATCATCCCACCGATCCTGATCCGTCCACGGCGCTTCATCAAGAAGTGTTGGGGCTGGTACATTCTCAGGCTCACGACGTCCATCACGAGCAAATTCTGGCGAAGTACCAGTACGTGGATCAGCCAGATGATGGCCTGGATTTTACATGAGATTTTTTCCCTATTCCGTTTACTTTTCCTTATTTTCGGTCACTATCCCTCTCTCAATTTCTTTCTCAGGTCCTTTCATTGCTGGACCTACTCTCGGTTGTATTAGGGTTTTTATGCATCTTCTTAGGCGTTGGTAAGGTTGGAAGGTGTTGGTCCGTTACGGAATGCTGAGCCATCATATTAGGCATGAAATGATTTTCGGGGTCTACGAAGCGCAATATAATTATAGTTGAATGTATCATATGTTAATCAATCACAATGATGACGCCATGCCATGAATTACGCTTCCCTGGCTTGTCAAGTATAGATATCACGGCGCATTTACTATATTCCATTTCTATACTCTCCTCTAATCGAACATGCTATGTAGTTCTTGTTCTTTTACTAGTATATGGTGAAGCGTTGGTGATCGCTTGCAGGACCAAGGACATCTTCATATCTCAATCTCGGTTAAGCTTAATGACATTTTCGGGCAGCAAAGGCCTATGAGCGGAAGCTGTCGCGCTGAATAACCGTACGGTCAGGAGTCCCGTATTCATTCTTATTATACCAGGGACGGAGTCGGATTTGCGATTCGTGCTACAGAGAAGAAGATCCCAGTTTCGACTGAAGTCGTTCTTGGTGGATCTATGCACTTCATTGATGACCGGTGCGTTATATCAACCTAAGCAACATATGCGTGCCCAGGGCACAATCATGTCTGAGTGACAGCAGATCTGTCGTCAACCTGCCGTCTGAGGAATTTGCAGCCATTTTGTTTCTGAACCAGCTGGACAGCATTATATGACATAACTTTTCACCTGGTAGGAATGACACGAGGTAATCAGATCGATGATATACTAATGTACAAAGCTTTTATACATAAGGTAGGACGGACAACTATAACTACATAAAACGAGAAACCATGTGAACCCAGCCCATATCATCAACGCCGCCTATATCATGCAAGCCCGCTAAAGGAAAAGGCCGTTGACAGGCCCTGCAAAACGGTTTTCACTTTCCAAATCTCAACTACTTTCCCTCTTTCGGCTCCTTCCCTTCTTCCTTCTGGCCCCAATTCCATACATCCCATATATGCTCCTTGATCAGGTCACCATATCCTTTCCCCTCCTCCAAGGCCTTCTGTTCCTCCCTTATTCTTCTTTCCTTCCACCCCTCCGTCTCGCCGCCCATCCAGATTTTCTCTAAAGCCGGCTTCTCCTGTGCTTGCCTAGCCTTCAGCCTCTCCAGTTCCTCGCCAACTGCTGATCCATCCCGGATCTGTGCATCCCTCGCTGCCTTTAACTTGGCCTGTATCTCCTGTGCCCGTTGGCTTGGTAGATCCGACAATGCTGCAATAGGGTTCCTTGAGATGCGGGCCTCGATCCGATCCACGATACTACGCCCGGTGTGTTCGCGGGTGAGGTGGTTTGCCGAAACACAGAAAGCGCTGGTGAGAAGGACCGTCAGGTTATCGAGCTTTCTAGGTGGTAGAGCAATGAGAACAGGCGATGCAATGAGAAAGGTGTATGCGGCGGCGGTTTTGAACCGCTCGTAGTCGGCTTCTCTGCGTGACTGAAGATCATCCGTCGAAAGTGGTGTGGTCATTTTGTTGATGAAGGGTTGTCCCATTCAACCTTTCGGGTAATGTGTGATGGTAAATATTATATGGAAAAAGTCGGCAGACTCAAGCAGGCCTTTAAGGACGCAATTGCGAGTGCAATTGTTGTGGTTGTAGATCGATTATTGCGGAGGAAATTTACGGCAGGTGATCCAGACCGATGGCGCAGTCAGGTGATACCCTTCAATTGTCAACCATGAGATATGCTCACGTGATACAGTCCATCACCGTCCAGCCATTCATACTCTGACGTCTCATGGTACATTTACCGTATCCAGGCACTTCATTAGATTCTCTGAACCTACTGGTCTAAACCGAGGCCTCCCTTGAGGTCTTCCTCGACTCTCAATGTAGAAAGATGAGGACAATGTAGACACCTCAGGCAGAAAGTGGATCGCCTCGATCAACCAGCCAAACAGTACAACATCCACCGCATAAGTATTTGACCTCCTTACCAGTCCAGCAACTCCAGGCCCATAATGCCCTCCCCAACATCCATTTCACTGTCCGCATCCCTCTTAACAGCTGGATACCTCGCCTACCGTGGTCTTACACCCCCAAACCCTCCCCCCAGCTCTAGAGTTAATGGGCCGCCAGACCGCGTCCGTCTGATTGCTGGCCCGATCACCACCGTCACAGTACATCTCAAAACAGCCTTCATTATCTACCACGCCCTTCTTGCGCTGTTCTATATAGACAGGAGCAACCACAATGCTAAGGAGCTGGCAGAAACTAGCGATGGAGCGTACCTCCAAGCAATCTGTCCCCACCTAACCAGTCTCGCGCCGCATCTCTTCACCTGGACTGTCACAACTACATTCTGCCTCCTTTCCATCATCGTGGGCGCCTTGCTTCGGCTCTCTGCATTCAAATTTCTAGGTCGGAACTTCACCTTTCAGCTGGCGCAACCAGATACCCTAGTAACTGGGGGTTTGTACCGATTGGTACAGCATCCGAGTTACACGGGGTTGTGGCTCCTCGCAGCAGGATACCTGGGAATGGTAATGCGGTGGGACGGTGCAATGGCCTGTGCTATGGATGAAGCAATGCATGAACGACTATCTGGGTGGGGAAGATGTGTAGTGGTGATGATAGTAACAGGGTTGATCCATTCAACGGTGATGCGCGTGCGAGACGAGGAGGGGATGTTGCGGGACAAGTTTGGGCGGGATTGGGAGGAATGGCATGTGAGGACAGCGAGATTCATCCCATATCTAATATAGTAGATACACTGTGACATATAAATACATACATACATACATATGTATACTGAAGTCAAGAACTGTGAATATTAAAAAATCCCTGAGGTTCGTAGCTTAACTGTAACTATTGACCAGCCACCGGAACAACTCCGATCCTCCGACTCCGCATCTCCGCCAATCCCGATGATCTCACCTCTTCATCCTCCGCCTCAAGCTCAGCTCTCCTCTTTCCCTTCTCTCATCCCACCTGCCCCCTCTCCCCGACAATCATTCAATTGCACCCCCAACTGTATTATGGGTATCCTCAAGCGCGCTGCTAAGATCACCGCCGTCGGTGCGGGCGTCACCACGGCATTCTTCTTCGCAGCCGTCCGTCACAACACCTTCGTGCCGATGCCCACAAGCGACCCTCTCTTCCAGCACCCGCTGTACCAGAAACTCAATCCCAACAACAATCCCACCACCCATGACCTCTGTGTGCGCCGCGTACCACTCAAGGACATTAAGCCCGCCTTGCTGGAAAAGCCAGGCCGGCTGACTGAGGCATTTTGCGCCGGTGTGTGGAGTGGATTCGGTGCGTTACACTCACCCACCCAGTCTACTATAAAATCAAGACATTGGACAAACCATCTAATTACCTGATCGAATGGGTAAACAAACAGGATATGCCTATCAACGCCGCTACCTCTCCAAGAAATACGAAGGCCCCGAGACCTCTTCTCACCTCTGGACGCGCGCGGACCTACGCGCCGCGACATACGACGTGGGTACGCTGATCACAGATCACTTCGAAGTGGTAGAAAAGACACCGGAGCGGATTGTCGTGCGGTGCGGAGATTCGCCGCGGAAGAAGGACGTGCGGGAATCGGATGGTTTGTTTGAGATGTCGACGGAGGTGAAGCCCCAAGAGGGAGTTGCGGAGTTTCGGCTCAAGAGTCTGTTTTTCCAGGGCAAGGGGAAGGCAGAGAGCGAGCCGATGCCATCGCACGTGGTCTGGTTGCATCAACAGTATACGAAATTGTGGTTGGAGACAGCGTTGGGAAATATTTGGCGGTGATTCATACCTGAGTGATGGCGACATCTGTAGCGTGGGATGGGAATTTAATCTACCAGTTGCCACATATCTTAATTCAATGCAGATTGGCCCGACTAGCTATCCACTTATCTATTTTACTCAGACTACTACGGCCTCAACTACCCATTCAATGCAAACCAAAAATGGACCTAATCACTATGCATCAACAACAGTACTAAAGGCAAGAGTCACAGGAATCACCAATGCTTCCAACCAAAACTAAACTTCATCAATTGCATGAGTCACAAGATTAAGAACCAAGCCTAGGAGGCACTGCCGCCATCACAAATATAATAACCGAGGACACCACACTTGAAATCCATACGTACGGATGCAACTCTTCCTCTCGTTCCCCAAAGACATGGCACCAAAGTCAAAGTGAAGAGAAGCAGGAAAAAGTGTATTCAAGCAAGCCAATCACTACGGAACTCACTGAACAGAAACTCCCACGAAGCAGAGAATCCAAGAAGAAAGTCATGTCTAAATTCGAGATATGTTCAATGTTTCAGAAGAAGTCCGCCCCAGGGGTAGCTACAAGCAGATTGCGAACCATAGCATTGCTTGCTGCGCAATATGTCTTGAACCGGATTTTCCGTTCTTCCTTTCTTCACAGTAGACTAAACATTCTGCATGTAACAGTACGGTGAGACCAAAACTGCCTGCAGAATTCTCAGAACTAATATCGGTTGAAACACCATGGTGATAGTAGAGTAGACGATGGTTTCGACGGGCTATATGGTAATCAAGCTACGAGAATTTTAATGGATCGAGGCCAGAGTCGAAAGCAATATCTTGTCCAATACGTGAAGTGGTAGGATGCATATCAATTGGAGTGGTTGTTGAAATCATGATTAAAGATTGCTTGTTCTTACTGAATCCTTCTATCCCGTCAACTAAACAGATCTACATCAAAGAGAAAATCATGATGAAAGATGATTAATTAGTGGAGTATAACTTTTATACTAATGCAATACGAAGTAGCGGGAATATATCAAGCAGATGTCCATGCACCAGCAGGCACACAGGGGTATGGAAAGGGAAAATGGGTATGAGCGAGATAAACAACAAAAATGGGCGGTGATGTGCACCGGCCCCACATCTACACCGTTATCTTCATCAGCAAAGACAAGGTAGTATGGTGCATTCAGGATGAGAGTTCTGTTCAACCGATATATGTATGTATATGGTATGTACACGCAGCGATCGATAGTCTAGAAAACCATACCCGAGACCTGCTTGACCTTGGCAACATTAATGTTCTTGATCATAACGATCCAGATGAACGAGAGGGCCATGAGTCCCGTTCCAACAGCCAACATGCGCGTCTGGGCATATCCATAGGCATGCTGGATGGCAATGCGGGTAACACTACCAGTCGGGTAACTCAGCTGAGTATCAAGGTCCTCGTAGATGTTCTCGAGGTTGGACATGGCTGATTCAGGCAGGTAGCGAATGAGCGCCTTCTCGAAGGTGTTATCCCAGATAGCGCCGGAGATGGTGGCACCGATAGCGTCACCGATTGTACCAACAACGTTGAGGAGGGCCAGGGCAGCAGCGACGTGCTGGTGGTCGACGGCGGCCAAAATAGCGAGCTGCTCGATAATGATGAAGATACTACCACCGATGGAAATGAAGATCTGGCACATGACGAGGTAGCCGACGGATTGGTTAGGGCGACGGAAGTAGATCATCAGACCCTGAGCGAAGATGTACAAGGGCACGGAGATGTAGAGGAGCCACTTGAAGCGGCCGGTCTTGCTGATCAACCAACCAACGAAAAGGAGCAGCACACCGGAGACGACATCGAAGGTGTCACTGACGTACCCTGCTTCGGCAACGGTCAAGTCGTTGACAACTTGCAGGAAAGAGGTGAAGTAGTTGTCCCAGCAGTAGTATGAGAGCTGGTAGGTGGCGTCGAGGAGACAGGCGCCGATAACGGTACGGTTGAAGAGGAAGCCGAACTTGAAAAGCGGCACGGGCGCGATGAACCATTCGTACAGGCAGAAGATAACTAGCATCACGACACCGACGACGATCATTGCGATAATGTAGCCCGAGGCCCAGCCGTCGGGGGCGTAAGAAGAAATATCGAAGGGAAGGAAGAAGACACAGAGACCGGTGGAGAAAAGGAGAACACCGACAACTGGAGGGTAAGTTAGATTAAGATGATATTCTGGAGGTATGGGGTATAAACGCGTACTATCAAACTCGATGAAGTAAAACCAGACAAGCTGGTACCAGGTGCGGGTGTCGCGGTTGGGGGCGACCAAACCCTGCTGCTGCGCGCGCTTCAGGTTATGCTTCAGGATGAAGTACAAAGGGGCAGCGACGACGGGAAAAATGATGGCGAACATGCCAAACCCCCAGCGCCAGCTAAGGTGGAAGTCATCCGAAGCCTTAGGACCAGCAAAGGCCGTAATGATATAAGGGGAGGAGGTAAAGGCGTAGGCCAGACCCCGGTTCTTCAGCTTGGAGGCATCAGCAGTGATGACATCCACACAGTAGGTCATTCCTCCGAAGCCAATGGTGTAGAATACCTAGTGAATGGGGTGATCAGCACGAGTAGAATTTTCACTTGATTACTCGTGAAAGAATACTTACATAGGCAGCACAGAATGTGGGAAGGTTGTGGCAGGTGGCCATCAGAATCAGTCCCAGTGTGGCAAAGACAGCCATGGTCAGGAAACCTTCAGCACGGCCAGTCACATCCATGATTTTGGCCAGAGGGATATACACGGCGGCCGACATGCAGTCGGCAACCACATAGATGACGTTCAGGAGGGAGTGGGACTCCCAGGAACTGGTGACATAGGGGAGCAGATTGTAAAGAATAGAGGACTGAAAAGCGTTTACAAAGTATAAGAGCCAGATGCTGATAGAGAAGAAGAAAAAGAGTTAGCGAGGATATAATGGAAATACAGATACCAAAGGAGACCACATACTTGGCGAAAACGGCGATCAGGGACCATTTGGACCAGGACTTGGTGATGGCCTCGACGTCGTGAACACCAGTCTGGAGGTGCGTTGAAGAGGCATCCTCGGAAACAGATTCCTCAGACTCTTCAGGACCACGGACTGCCTCATCAGCAATGGGATCCCGCTTGGTTTCCTCGACAGTGTTCATGGCAACATTGTTGCCGGAGTCTTCGGTAATAGAAGGGTTACGGCCAAAGGCCTCGCGAAACTTTTCGAGTACGGCCATGGTGATGGACCGACTAATCGAGAAGGCAAAGAGATGATCGAGCGGGTAAAGCCAAGGAGGACAAGAAAAGGACAAGAAATCTGGGATTTCTTGGCCCTTATACCCAGGCAAACCCAGCTAGCAACGAGTGGCGGAGGACTAGTGTTGACAGGCCCACGCACTGATTGATAACCCCGAAGTCGGCTGCGGCGGCCGCATCTGAAATCTTGGATTGAAGAGTGGTGAGGTTTGAGCGCAACTGGAGACCACTGGATCCCTGGAGACGAGCCAATCTAATCAGATGATGGCGCTGACCTGCTCATTCCCCTATCTGATCGAACCAATCGGGGGTCGTAGGCTGGTGAGGATGCCCTACAAGGTCTACGTAACTATCCTAGCACAGGTGCAGAGATTGTTAGCGCCAGCATTTAGTTTGGCTATGGCGCACATTCTAACTAGCTGACTCGCAGCGTGTGCTTGTCCGGAAGCCACGATGAGGCACGATAAAAACCCGTGATCTCCACCCGGAGATGAGCAGCGGGCACTGGATGACTGGCAGGTTTTTCTGCGATCCACTCAAGGCACCAGTAATCTCTGCGTCTTTTTACCTGATCGATAGCTTCAAGTCCTCTAAAGTCGAGGGGGGAGGCACCCACATCCGGGTCGAGCTGAGTCGTCTGATGATGCTGGATCGGGTCAACATCCCAAATTGGTGTCCACTCGCGGTATGTATACTAAAAGAATACTTGTATGAACCGTACGATACTGCTTTGCGTATGGTCACAGCCGTCACCGGGAAATGTTAGGTAACGGGTCCACTCTCATCACACAATCCAATTTCCCCTGGCGGCCACCGGGAAAAAACGCGCCTGGAGACCGTGGACGAAATGCGGCTAGTCCGTGACTAAATCTAATCTGATCCATGATAAGATGCGAATGCCATCAACACGCGTCGTTGAGGGGTTTCACTTTCTCAGAAGTCCAGTGGGTACTAACTTAGGCAATGGGGTACATTAGACTGTTCTTCCATGGTTCTTGTCTTTCCAAATAGATGGGGTGCCCAAGAGGTCGAAGGAATTTTCTCACGAGCAACTGAGACCAGGACACGGCTGGAAAAATCTTCAACGTGAATGTGGCTCCATCGGGTTGTTCCGCCGAATAATGAGCGAGCTACAACGCCAGATGATCCGGACTCCCCTTGCCGAACAGGCACACACGCCGGCTGGCTATCTGATTGCGGAGTAATCCGTAGACCGTACATGAAGACCCCCTCTTCCGTCTCACAACTTGGAGTTGATCCATTGTGGCGACCGTTTCTCTACAAACGCCCGAATACCTTCGGCAAAATTAGCTCCCTCCACCAGGCGCGGGTACGAGTGTTCCGCCAGCGTCGACACCGCATCCTCCACGCTACCAGCCTCCCAGCTCAACCGGATACCCTCGCGGCCAACAATGAGCGCATCCGGACTGTTATTGCACATGACGCGAGCGACCTGTAGAGCTGCCTGTGCAACATCGTCACCAATATCCACCAACCGAGTCACCAGCCCCCAATCGTAAAGTGTCTTTGCGTCCACACTACGACCAGTCAAGGCAAGGTCCATCGTGCGCTGCAACCCCAATGTCCGGGTCAGGCGTGGTAGGCAGCCGGCCACAGGCACAATCCCTCGCTTGACTTCTGGCAGCGCAAAAATGGCAGACACCGAGGCGATTACGATGTCACAGTTTGCTACCATTTCAAACCCGCCCCCCATGCAGATACCGTTGACCGCTGCGATGATGGGTTTCTTGCCGCTCCGTCGGGGCAGGCCTGCTAGTCCGGGCGGGGACATGTCATTGACAACTCCAGCTTCGTTCATTGCATTCCACTCTATGCAACTCGAGAAGTAAGCAAATATGCCATAGCACAGAGGTCTCTGAGAGCATAGAAATCGAATATACCTTGCAGATCCGCCCCAGTGCAAAAGGCTCTCCCGGTACCAGTAATAATACCCACCCACAAGCTCTCATCCTGGTCGAACAGCTCCCAGACTTTTTGGATCTCTCGACTCGTAGCCAAATCGAGAGAATTGAGCTTTTGTGGGCGATTTAAGGTCACCTGGACCACACGCTCGTGGGGAAACGAGACATGAAAATTTGGATGTTGTATGGAATGCGATCGGAGTGACATGGTCGAGAGTGTGAATTGTTTGATAGGCTTATCTGATCGCGGGACAGCCGGACCAGCTCGCGCTACTTTTATACTTTTGTACAGGGCCATGCTGGGGTCCAGAAGGCGGCATAATATGCGATATCGGTGGGCCCGAGACCGTGCCAGAGGGGTCGAGAGCAACCAAGGACCGGTCATTGGCGGACACCCACCTGAGACACCTTCCAAGCTTGTTATCTGTCTTCCTCGGTTGTTCTGTCGAATTGGCCCCGGCTTTCTATATAACCGTTTGCCTCGGTCGCAGCGTTCCTCTTACATTTCCTCTTCTTCCTAAAATCGCCCCTTGCCTCCATACATCGTGCTCATTAGACACTTCACAGCGAGCGAGGATGAGCCCCGATACCACTTCCAGCTCCCAGTATCCACTGGTGAAGCTTCCTCATCCCTTTCTGACCGCATACCGCGTGCGCACCGTTGCCGAAGCCGAAACGTCACCAGCCAAACTCAGCTTGACTTTGCATGATCAGCCCCCAGCCGGCCGATCCCCCCCTCAACCTCTACACCTCGACTCTCTTTCGTGGCTTGAATTAGCACCCCCTTCCTCGACCAATTGTCCCCCACCCTCCAACAACACAGCCTGGGCACGAGCCCGTCGTGCACCTAGAACTACATTCCAATGGACTGACACCACACCGACATTGGGGCAGATCTGGAACGTTGTCCATGCTATATACCTTGCCCACCCTACCCATGAATACTTCAGTCTGGCTCTGTCCGGCGCAGGCCAGGATGTCCTTCGTACTGAGCTCCTCGCGACCGGACTTGGAATCGAGCATCCTAAGGCCACACGGCCCGATGATCGTGCAGTCCAACCTTCTACCGACCTTTTGATCCTCCGCAGTTCTTTCTGGCAAGGCGCAGCGTCGCCAATGGGCCCGCGTCCCATCTGGGTGGTGGGTGAGGGCACCGATGGCTCTCTGCGAGAGCCTTTATCGCAATACCCCCCCATGCCGGAAAACTATCACTTCACGCAGAAGTTTCCCGAGGAGCCTATCTATGCCAGACACCCGATCCGACGACCCAAGCCAGCTCCTGGCTCAATTGCTTACAGTCGCTATATTCCTGAATTGGATGAGCACTTCTCTCTGGAAGTTGTAAATTGGCAGGATCCAGCCCATTTACAGCTCTTCAACACCTGGCAGAATGATCCCCGTGTGGCAAAGGGATGGAATGAGACAGGTACACTGGATGAACACCGCGAGTATCTTCGGAAGTTGCATTTTGATCCCCATGTACTGTGCTTATTCGGGCGCTTTAATGAGACAAGGTTCTCGTACTACGAGCTCTATTGGTCTAAGGTATGATCTTGTCCCCTGATTGTATCATGTGGCATGATGTGCCATCTTTAGTCGAGGACGTCTTACGTTCTTCGCTCGGAGTAGCCACCACGCATTGTTTGGATTACTCGTGTCTTTGACAGCTGCTAACACTGGGATAGGAGGACCATTACGGTGCGCATTATGACGCCCATGACTACGATCGCGGAAGGCATTCGTTGGTGGGTGATGCATCCTTCCGTGGCGCGAAGCGGGTCAACGCGTGGTATTCGAGTTGCATCCATTACTGCTTCTTGGATGAGCCACGGACCGTAAATGTGGTTGGTGAGCCACGCGCAACAGGGGCAACGATTCTGTCGTATGAAAATGCGCAGGGTCTGACGATCGGCAAGTACGTCGACCTGGGCCACAAACGGTCAGTTCATTCCATCTGCAGCCGAGAGAAGTGGTTCCAGTTGTGCCCGATCTTCTGGGATGGGCGTGAGCGACCGTTGGAATCGGCCGACCGTGCTGCGTGGAATGCCAAGCTGTAAACTCCTGGGTCTGCTTCAACGAGAAATGAGAATACCGGCCGGACATGTTACGGAGACTAGTCCTCCAGTGGAAGCGAGGCCCCCACCACCGCACTATCTAACCCTAGATAGCAATCTTTCAATACCATACTGTACATTATCCACTTGCTCTGGGTCTCCACTCGTACCGTTCACTTTTCCGCCGTATCCGGCCGCATCGCCATCGACCACACCACCCTGTAGGAGAATATTGAGGCCAACTGCAAGCTGGCCAATACCTGCGATACCATAATAACACTTCTGGGGAGATTTTTGATAATGTATGGACTAAAATAGTAGCCGGACTTTAGACTGACTGAAGAGGCACCTGTGAGTTGTGCGGGTGCTCGTGTGCGCTTTACAGTTCTGGATGAGTCGACAAGTGCATTGAAAGTATTGGCTTCAACATAGAGAATGAACATCCCGCAGTGTCTGCGCGAGCACTTGAATTGTATCTTGATATCTGCATTGCTATCCAACATCATACATGCATAAACATAGTCGTTCACCGTAAAGGAGGGGGTCCTGTCCATAACCTACTCAAACCATCATCACATTAATTGCCCCCGCAGTGTGGATAGACATAAGGTGAGGCAAGCACCAAGACTGTTGCTACCAGGCCATATTTCACCCAGTCCCGTCGTGCCCGCAGGCCCGTCGAGTCTTGCGTAGAATATCTAGACCCAGTCTCAAGCTGACTGGCAGCATTCCATGTCTCGTGGATCTGCTGTTTCTCCGACAAAGCACAAGGCTCATCAGGCGTACCACTTCAGAAGGTCAGAAAATCCAACACTTATCATCGTACACGAAGAAAGAAAAAGGTGTATTACACGTTAACCACAGTCTTCAGATACCCCATGACCTTGTCCACAAGGAACCGTCTTGGCTCCGCCTGATCATCATTACTGAGGGCATGCGACGCGCCCGGAATGACTGCAGTATGTTCATCATCCCAGACCTCTTCGCCCTTTGCACATCCAGCGTTTGCAATCCCCCGCCATTTCCTCAACAGTGCCTCCTTATCCACCCAGTCAGGGACACTCTGATCCTTACCCGAGTATAGCACCATCAACTTCGCCTTTCCTGCCAACAAGCCTCCGCTCTTCACCTTTCCGAAGGTCTTCTCCAACTGCTCCGGCCCCAAGTCCGAACTGAACATATCGTCCTCCCCAGGGTTACCCGGAGCATCTGGACTCACTAAACTCAACAACCGCCTCGCCGACAACGGTGTATTAGCCGGATAAGCAAAACTAGTCAACTCAATCGGCAGAATCACATCGAATTCGCCACCCTCCCTGATTCTCTTCTCCTCTGCCTCTCTTGCCATGCCCACTAGCTTTTCATAAACAGCTTTACACTCCGCAGAAGATCTGCCTCCAAATCCATTCTCTAAGACCCACAATATCGCCTCGCGATCCGACACAGGTGCTTGCATTATAGCACCATCCAGCGGCAATCGCTCCACATGCTCTAAGTATTTATCAAAGGGCGGTTTTGTGGTATGCGGGTTTGGCCGCGTTAGGTAATGCATGACACATTGGCTGCCAGTGGAGTGTCCCATCAAGACGATCTTGCTGCCAGCTGCAGAGGCAGAACCGTATTTATCCGCTTTGTAGTCTTTGATGTAGCGGATGCATTGGGCAATTTCGTCGGTATCGCGGTCCAGATGTCCCAGGCCCCAGGATTGGTAGGAGGAGGTAAGGTTCAGGGTGAAGAGGGACCAGGGGGTGGAGTGGAGGGCACGGGCTAGGTCTGCCATGTAGGATGTTGTGGCGAGGCCATCGCCGAGGCCGCCGACGAAGAGCAGGGTGTGAGGTTGGGAGAGAGAGGGGGTAGTGGTTGTGTATTCGAAGGTTACGAGGGTTTCTGTCTATATTTTCGGATATTGTGTTAGTCTGGTCGGCTGGGAGTCGGACAGGTCAGAATTGGACATACGAAGTGGTGCAGAATTCCCGGGAGGCCGCCCTTGGGCCAGAATTTGGAGTACATGTTTGCTTGTTTCCGAGTGATTATATGAGTCTGAGTCTAATGATAGTGTATAAGATGAAGAGTCTTATAATTCAAGTAAGATAATGTTGTGTAGAGTAGGAGGTGAGCGTAAATGGTTGAGCCAAAATTCCAGAAACAATCACTGCAGCCAGGCTTGGCTTATGTACTTTGTAATCGCTTATCTTCACGGCAATTGACGGTGTGGCTACCACCGGAACCAAGTATTCCCGGGAATGGAATCCTCGGTTGTTTCACGAGTTTTGGGATGTTGAGGACGCTGGTGGGGTTCATCAGATAATGAGTGAGACAGGTTTGTCATGGATGTATGGTAAGCGGGTGAACTGTCGGACATTGAAAGGGTGTTTCTGAATACATAGTATTTCAAAGGCGGTAATGGACGGTATGTGGGTACCTAAGCAGACCCTAATGCGGTTGTCGTATTCTTGATCCACCGGCGGATAAAGGAAAATAAACAGAGAGAAAGCGAGATGTCTCCGGCGGTTGTTGCCGTCGGTATATGCAAGTTAGCGTAGATGCGGTGATGCCCTGTCGCGATGCCAAACTGCATACTGGAAGTGAGATAAACGGAAACCCGTAACTACAGCAGCTATATTCCTGAGCTTTACAGTGGCCTCTGTATCTATTAAAGTGTATCCTCATGAATGTTCTTTATCGTTTGATGGCTTATAATAACATGGCATAAGCCAGTTCACAGACATTGGTGACTCTGGACACCATCTGCAAGCTATAGCTTCCTGGTTATCCTACATAAGCTGAAACTCTCTTACACGCGAGACCAACCCAAGTCAGTATATGTCTCCGAGTAGATGCCACGTGCGAGACGAGTGGACTCTGACTGTGGACTCGAGGTTCGTCAGAGCCGAAACCTCTTACTTTGAGGTCTCGGTAGATTATCCTACTCCAAACTCCATACTTCGTACATCAACGGATTATCAGATTAGATTAGATACTCGGCGATAGCACTCATTCGGGCTAGGCAAAGCGATTATCATACGACTCGGTCCAGAAAATAAATTCATATGTTGATACCCAGTATAGCTTTGGAAAATGGTTAAAGGTAACACAAATTGAAAAAAGAAATATGGCCTGCAGAACTCACTTGCCACCCCCTGCACCAAGCTACGCTGTACCCTGATCAGGGTATTCCATTGAATGAACGCATCTGCATCTCCCATGGCTCGGAGAATTAGTTCGTATGAGGGATTAATCACGACACTTCTATCTCCTCACCATATATAACAAACTAACTTGTTTCGGATACCTTGACCAGCTAACTTCTTGGTTGTCTGTGGACCTGCAGCTATCTGATCTGATTAGTCTTATCAATCACCAGCCCCACTTGTCACATACTAGCGTTATTACTAGGGCCCTATTTACTTACTAGCGCAAAAGCATTTTTTACACACACCACAAACATCCTGTTATCCATCGCCCCCACTCAAAGCCAATATCCTGATAGCTGGTCCATCGGGTCGCTCATTTCCGGCAGGCCTATCTACACAGTACTTAGGCTGGTGAAGAAAACAATAAAAATGAACCCATTCTATGACTCATCCTAATTCATCCCAACAATTACGTTTTATAACCCTTACCTAAGTTCCAGCTCTCGCAAAAGACCGGAACATACCAAGCAACTTAGATCAGATAACTTTTTCCCAGTACCACATTTCACGCCGCGGGCTAAATCATGTCATACCGTGTCTCACTAATTCTCGGCTAGACGCTTGGCCTACGTGGTCTGTGCAAATTCTTTTGCCCGGTAACTTTCACAAGCTGGCCTGCTGTCCGTTGGTGCCCGTTGGATCTCGTGTTGCAATGCTGCAAACTGCAGGATACCCGCAGCCGTGGTGGATTCCACCGCCGATCTCGGTAGTATCATAATAATAATGATAACTTTAGGAATGGGGTCTTGTGAAACTTCACGGGATGTTCGGAAGAGGGTCAGTAATCTGATCTTTGTGTGTTTCTGGGACCTCGGATCAGATAATAATATACTTGGTGTCCATTTGCGGTGCGTTGGGCACTTATTGAATTTAACTCGGGGTGAAGTAATTGAACTGAGCTGAAGACATTCGGTGGTCCTAACTACTTGCCCCTCTTTTCCCCTCTCTTCTCGTCTCTCATTCTCCTCCCACGCAGCTGGACTGGATTTTACTGAACTGCCGAATGGGCAACACACACACTACAAGTCCCCAGGGACAAGAAGACTTACACGACATGGCAAATGTACGGTCACTAGAGGCCGTTGGCCTGGGTGTCGATACTACCCCCTCAGGCATGAAGGAAGAACTTCTCCTAGTTTCGTGGCTCATTGTGCTCTTGCGCACGAGAGAGGATGGTCAGGCATCGTTTGAATGGGCCTACAAGGGCCACGAGATTAGTCCAGTCAACTGCTGTCAGTCGACAGAGGTAATGGCCGACTTGCGAAGCAGTGTGGGGCAGACTGCCGCCGCAATTGCTCGCAAGCACTCTATTACGCCCGAGCCAGCGCCATCGAGGTCGCTTGCGCTGCTCCTCAGCACCAGCGCCCTGTCTCAGACCACTGAGGAGCCGAACGAGGTAAGTCGCGACCGCAATTCCTACCGCCATACCAACTATACGAGAGCCAGGCTAATGAGACAAATGCACAGGGCATCATCCACCTCGAAGCGCGCTACAATGCCAACATTCTCGAAATTCAGCCCATTTGGCACTCCGAAGCTATTCTCCCCTATACCCTTACTCGCCACATCAACAGCCTCATCGACACTGTGCAGCTGGTTCTCTTGAACCCCTATGCCACTATTGAAGACTGCCTCCGCCCGACAGCCAGCGACATCTCTGATATCTGGTCATGGAACTACGAACTCCCCCCAGCATACGACTTTGGCATGCACGAAGTGATCTCAGAACAAGCACGCAAAACGCCCGACAAGGTCGCGATTGACTCCTGGGACGGCAGTCTCACCTACGGCGTGATCGAGCGGTACTCGACGTATGTTGCGATGAAGATCCAAGAAATGGGCGCGCAACCGGAAGATTTCATCCCCGTGTGTTTCGAAAAGTCGCGGTGGACCATTGTTGCCGTGTTGGCTGTCATGAAGGCCGGGTGCACATTTGCGATGATGGACCCCACTCTCCCACTGGCTCGGCTACAGAACATGGCGAAGCAAGTGAATGCACGAACGATGATTTGCTCGTCCATGCAGCAAGACCTGTCGAGAGAGATCATTGAGGATGGAGGGTTGTTTGTTGTGGAGGAGAGTGCGTTCCCCAATGTTCCGCCGCTGGAAAGCACCCCAACGTTGCCCAAGGTTCCCTCAACCACCATCATGTACTTGATTTTCACTTCGGGAAGCACGGGGACTCCTAAGGGTGTCAAGGTCTCCCATGGTAGCTACACAAGCAGTGCGTTCCCGCGCGCCAAGGCTGTCGGGTATGATGAGAAGTCGAGGGTCCTTGATTTCGCGTCGTATGCGTTCGATGTCAGTATCGACAGCATGCTTTTGACGCTGGGTAATAATGGCTGTCTCTGCATTCCGTCAGATGAGGACCGACTAAACGACATCAACGGCGTTATTCGCAATATGCGCGTCAACTATGCGGGTATTACCCCGTCCGTGGCCCGCATCTTGGAGCCGGATGTCATTGCGTCGCTCAGCGGGCTGGGATTGGGAGGTGAGGCTGCGTCGGCCCGCGATGTAACAGTCTGGGGTCAGGAGACGAGGATCATTATTGGATATGGGCCGTGCGAGTGCACGATTGGATGCACGGTGAATAGCAGCGCAGCCACCGGAAGAGACTATATCTCCATCGGAACTGGCAATGGTGCGGCTATCTGGATTGTGAACCCTAATGACCATGATGAGCTGATGCCGGTTGGTGCGGTGGGTGAATTACTGGTGGAGGGCCCAATTGTCGGCCAGGGCTATCTGAATGATCCCGAGAAGACGGCGGCGGCGTTTATTGAGGACCCGAAGTGGCTGGTGGCGGGCCATCAGGGCTACGCTGGTCGTCACGGAAGAATGTACAAGACCGGAGATCTCGGAATGTATGATCCTGATGGATCGGGAGGTATCGTTTTTGCTGGACGAAAGGATACTCAGGTCAAGCTGCGCGGACAGCGTGTCGAACTGGGAGAGATCGAGAGTCAGCTCAAGGCCAGACTGCCGTCGGAAGCCACAGTCATTGCGGAGGTGATTGTGCCTCAGGGATCCGGAGGCCAAGCGACTCTGGTAGCCTTTGTTTCCTCTCAGGCCAGTAAGGGCATCGACAGCACGGAAGTCACCTCGGTAGATCTTCCGGAGGAGTTGAGCAAGACACTGACCAAGGCTGATGCGGAGGTAAAGAAGGTCTTGCCTCGATACATGGTCCCTACAGCATACATTCCCGTCAGCCATATTCCGGTCTTGATCTCCGGCAAGACGGATCGTCGACGACTGCGGCAGTTTGGCACCACTGTGGACCTGCGCGAGCTAGATCAGGGTGCGGCAAGCACCGCCCATCGGGAGCTCACTGAGCTAGAGCAGCGTCTACGACAGGCCTGGAGTCAGACCTTGAAGCTTGACGCCGAAACCATCCGGCCAGACGACAACTTCTTTGCCCTGGGTGGTGATTCTTTGGCTGCGATGAGACTAGCGTCAGTCTGTCGGGCACAAGGCCTGGATCTGTCAGTCGCCAACACGTTTGGCCATCCTACTCTGTCTGCTATGGCCACTAAGGTCCTCATCTGCGATGTCGAGACCCAGACCGATATTCCGCCATTCTCATTGATCTCCCAAGCTGCCGAAAGTGCCTGTGAGGAGGCTTCTCGTGTATACGGGTTCGACAAAGCGGCCATCGAGGACATTTATCCTTGCACCCCAACACAGGAGTCCCTGTTTACCTTCTCGCTCAAGTCAGTCAAGGCGTACGTTGCACAGAGACTGGCGTGCATTCCGGCTGACGTGGATCTCGATGCCTGGAAGCACGCCTGGGAGGAAGTCGTCACAGCCATTCCAATCCTGCGCACCCGTCTGGCTCAGCTCCAGGAGCCCGGCCTGCAGCAGGTCGTCCTCAAGGATGGAATCGCCTGGAAGCACTCAACTGATCTGGCCCGGTACCTCGAGGAAGATCGCGATGAGAAGATGAACCTTGGAGAAAATCTCGCTCGTTATGCTATCATCGATCACCCCGCTGATGGTAAGCGATACATGGTCTGGACAGTCCACCACGTCCTCTACGATGGCT